AAACAATAACATAGTAAGCTTGCATAATTAAACAGCAACTAAAAATGATAGGTTTTACTAAATCTTTTCCTGTGCAATTATTACTAGCATTGGAGACAAGGATAATAGTTTGTTTGAAAGAGAAAAGAACAGGCTTTGAAGTAAGCCTAAAAGCGTTTAACTAGAAATAGTATTTCGAAAGTTATTAAGCACAAAAGATGAATTGCGTTTATTTTGATACACCCTGTACATATAATAAAAAATGTAAGTACAATTTTATTCAGGGCCTCTTCTAAGAATTTCTCAGTCGGAGCATCAAGAAATGTTACCTAACTGGGGTGGTGGAGAATAGTGTAAACTGGTTATAATAATAATAATAATAATTTATTCATTTATAAAGCGATAAACACTATAACTATTCCAAAGCGCTATCGTTACAAATTCAAATAAAATGTTACAAAATATGAGAAGATACCTATATATAGATTTAAAATTTACTATTATATTTAAAGATAAAATGCCTTTTTAAAAGAAAGGTCTTAGGTACGGACCATTAGAAAAGTGATGGGGCAAAACAAAAAAAATTTTATTCCCAGAAAAAAATTAGGAAAAAATATCTTCTCAGGCATAGTGCAAAAAAAAAATTCCTTGCTTGGAATATAAGCCTATAAAATTCACTTAAAAAAAAATATTTCCAGCCATCAAGTGAGAAAAAAAAATTTCTTCTATAGGTATACAAAAAAAAATGTTGACTCTTAGAAAATCCCCCCCCCCAATCACTTTTCTAATGGTCCGTCCCTTAAATTAAGTCTGCTTTTAAAAGTTTTCACAGTTGACGCCCCACAAATGTCAGCAGGAAGTTCATTCCACAAGAAGGGGGTTTCTTCCTTGGAAACCCCTTGTTTTCATCTTCTGCATAAAGTTATCAATCCTTTTTTAAACTCAACCTTCATTAGGGGCAAAATAGACTTGTGTAAGGATGGAGAGGGCAGGAGGACTAGGGGAATTATGGTGCCCCCCACCACCACCATAGCCACCCCCTCACACCATGTATATATACACCACATTAAAAGAGGCCCTGCATTAATTACAAATGTCATTTCTGTTCATTTAAACAAACTGTCACAAACTTATCAAGTAATTTGAGATATTCTTCAGGATACTTCATGTAATGTTGGACATGTGGTGAGTTGTCCCAACATTTGCTGAACACCTTCACTCCCTTTGCTTTCCGATCGTTCATGTGTTCTTCAACATCGTCACACAAAGCTAAGTGGTCAGCTTTTGAGTACAAAAACAGTTGTGGACATGCTATTGGTATTTTTGCAAGATCATCAAAAAATCTTTGTAGCGTAGGGTCAATTTTGACCAGCAATGATAACACAAATCCGAGTGTATACCAAACAAGTGGGCGAAGAACTGGATTCTTCATATGCTCTGTCAATAGAATTTGAGCATGTCCAACACTTTCAATAGTTGGTTTGACAGGACAACTGTCGAAAATTGAACCAACGACATTGAGTGAATTATAATGTGGACCACCTCAGTGCTTCTGTGAGATGAAAATAGACGTTGCAACCACCATTACTAAGTGCGTACAAAAACACAGGTTGATCTTTTTGTGTTTGATCTTTTATAACTTCAGCAATATACATTCCGATTTTCTTGACTTCTGTTCCGCTTCTGAAGAAAGTATTAAAGGATTTGGCAGGTAGACTTGTGGTTGACCAGCCTTTAGCTTCAAAAATATTGCTGTACTTTTCTAAATGTTTAGGTTTGCAGTCACTCCATCCTAGAATAACAACAAGAGGCTTTGAGGCATGTTCTTGTTGAGGCTTTCTCATCTCCGCACCGTATTTAAGCCGAGACGAAGTATTTGTAGCCTGCGAACAGGCTCTCAAGCTGAATTGAGAGCCTGCATCGATGACTAATGAATTTGAATATCTGCCCCGTAACGTTCATTTTTCCAAATATGGAATGTCTATCCTTATATCACAGATGAGGTAGATACAGATGTGAATCTCACGGCAAATTATGTCACACCGATTAAATAAACTTTAAAATTGTATTAATTCACTATTTTATTAAATTTTGATAATGCAGAGAAATTAAACTATACATATTATAGAAGTATTCATGTTTTTTTTATGCCAGAGTTATGTTTTGAGGAATTTATATCATTCGCTGTTTTGTTATTATACATGAGCATCTGAAATTCCCAGCAAGTGTATTTCACGATTTTAATAAGGAATAGATAGGGAAAAAAACAAACTTTTGCTAAATAAAATGTTATGTTAACACTTTTAATAAAAAGAAATCAATAAAAGTGATCGCTTACCGATACTCTTGAAGAATTAATTCCAAAAATAGCCGTCGGTAGCGTAGATTTTTTAAAAAAACAATTTTTCGTCTTTCGAACGGCGTTTTCCTATCTCTTTCCGTATTAAATTTCAGAACGACACTTGCCAGCGCTCGCCGGAAGTGAGAATTCCGTGTGACACAAAACAATCAGCGATTTGACGGAAGATTCACATCTGTATCTACCTCATCTGTGGTAGTATCGCCTGAAGATCGCTTTGAAAGCGTGAAACACTGTGTAGCGATTAATAAAATTTTAAGATCATAATTAGTATATATATATATATATATATATATATATATATATATATATATATATATATATATATATATATATATATATATATATATAATATATAATATATAATATATAATACCGGGTGGCGCAAAAAAAAGTATAACTGTTTGATTACATATAACTCAAAGACCATAAGCAGTAGAACCCAAAATCGAGTTTCATTGCATCCAGCGATGTCTAACTTAAATTTTGGTATATTCGACAGGCATTTTCGTCCAAGATTGACTGAGATATGAGTGTTTAAACTTTTGTTAGCAAATTTGAAATGGTCACAAATTAGCTAAAAACGACCTATTAAACTGATTTTTAGCTAATTTGTGACCGTTTCAAAATTGTTAACAAAAGTTTAAATCTTATATCTCAGTTAATCTTGGATGAATATGCCTGTCAAATATACCAAAATTTAAGTTAGATATCGCTGGATGCAATTAAACTCGATTTATGGTTCTACTGCTTATTGTTTCTGAGTTACAAGTAATCAAACAGTTGTACTTTTTTTTGCGCCACCCGGTATATATATATATATATATATATATATATATATATATATATATATATATATATATATATATATATATATATATATATATATATATATATATATATATATATATATATATTATATAGCTTAAGATTTTGGTTTACGAAACACAAACAGTGCTCAATACCATATAGATAGAGCGTAATATAGTTTTTCGTTTTACCTCAAAAAACCACAACAGTCTGTTTCATCCGTATAGGAATCATCAGGTGGTGAATAATTTCGAATATACAGGGTGTATCAAAATAAACGCAATTCATCTTTTGTGCTTAATAACTTTCGAAATACTATTTCTAGTTAAACGCTTTTAGGCTTACTTCAAAGCCTGTTCTTTTCTCTTTCAAACAAACTATTATCCTTGTCTCCAATGCTAGTAATAATTGCACAGGAAAAGATTTTAGTAAAACCTATCATTTTTAGTTGCTGTTTAATTATGCAAGTTTACTATATGTTATTGTTTAGTCGGTTTAAATGTTAGAATTTTCTTCTTTAAACTTTAATGTTGTCGTCACTACATCTGGAAAACCACGTAAGAACAAATTAAAAGTATTTTAAAAGATACTAGGTTGTTTGAAAATCCTAAACGAATGCTAAAAATCATAGAATCAAAACATTCTGGTGTCTGAGCCAGAGTGTCATCGAATTGCGATGTAATGTAAACAGAAATTATAGCAAGCTGATATCAGTCAGCTTAGATGGTCCAAGCCAAAATTATATCGCATTTGAAGTTTCAAACTGTGTTAAAAATAGTGGAAGAAAAGCCGTAATTATACTTATTGTTACAATCCATTTATTAAAATGCAACATTTTTTGTTTTAATGAAAAAATCAATTATTTTCATGAGAACGATTTGTTATTCCATCTCAATTTTTTTAATCTCCAATCGCAATAACGTAAAGTATTATTACCCGCGGACCAATGAGTCAAATTTAAGAAACAACCTACTGTTAGAAAGCTGAATGGCTACGCTTTAAAATGAATGTAAACTTTAACGTTTTCGTCTATTATTTCTTTAGCAATTTACATTTCAGTCGAGGATTGCGCTTTTTTTGATACACCCTGTATATATATATATTCTCCAGTCACGTCTATATGTTTAGTGTGTTGATCTTGTAAGAATGTTGTGTTAGTGTTGCTTGCATGTTTGCTAGTACACATATTTTGTATATATCTATATGCGAGATATAACTACCTAAATATAAACAAAACTTCGAGGCCCGACGCTCCCGACAAAGAACCTTCGCTCGAAACGTCCAAATCCTGCTTGTGTTTTTCAGGTCGTTGTATCTCTTTCAATCGCAGCTGTCTTGTTATCCATCATCGGTTATTTGCATTCCAGTATCCGCGTTATGCCAGCACGTGCAAAGACCCTGGCATGCGAGGTTGAGCGCACGTGCATGTAAAATATGCCGATATACCAACAAATATGACCGCAACATCCGTCCTCGGGCCCTCGTTCTACCGTAGTTCGATAAGACCCGAACTTTTCCCGTATTTCTTGTTATTTTTTCCAAACGATTTTATCCCTATTTGGGGTTATTTTCGATGAAATGGAATTTCAGAGAGTTAAGCTGTATTATGTTTCAGTCTGTTTTTACTTTCCAGAGTTTCACGTTCGGTGAATCCGTAAACCAAGAATGAAATTCCACAACTAATAGATCGAATTATATAGGTCAAGTAAAAATTAGAGGCTAATTATGAAATTATTGTGGTTTTAGAACAACCTGTCACATGCAAGGGCTGCATTTGAGCATAGGTCAAGTTCATATACACAATCACATAATTCATCTTTAATATCTTCACCTTAACCCTCAAACAATTAACTGCTAGTTTGTTTACAATACATTTTGAAATAGAAAAAAAGAGATTTGAAAAGCCGACACGAGAACAAATGTCAAATAATTCCTAATTTCCGTACCCATGAAGCTTAATATAGTTAAGCCAATAAAGATGACTTTCATGCATTGCAAACGTATTTCTATCATATTAAAATAAAAATGTCTTGTCCAATTTAGTGCTAGTATTTTAATTTTTATATTTAATAACGTTATTAGGCTATCAAGGAAAAATTAGGCTATCAAGGAAAAATTATATAGTTCATTTTGCATTGTGATGATATGCAATGGCCAATGTGTTTAACGTGCTTGATATAATTATTTTGACTAAAACTGCATGAAGGTCAAGTTCGCCACCAGTCAAGAAAATGTAGATTAAGCCTAAGTAGGGGATATACAGGGTGGATAAAAAAAGAAGACCTTTAGAAATTAACCTTATTATAATTTGAATGCTATAAGCACTACGTTGAAGTTTGAACACAAGAGTGCGAAAACACAATTGAATTGAATTTTTAATTACCATGAACAAATATATTGTGCTTAACAACAATAGATTAACTTCTATAAAGGTCTCCTTTTTTATGATACACCCTAGCTGAAGAGTGAAGAATGCACAATTCAGTCCTACAGTGCATGCATGCATATATTTAGACTTCCCCAAATATTATATGTCTAATACATCGTATATACTGACGCAATTTTTAGCTGGTACTTAACTTTGTTTTGAAAACTATACTTTGAGTTGCCAAATATATCAAACCCTTTGGCTTTGTGTTTTCATGACTAGTAGACTAACATAAATTTCTCAAACTAAAGATATAGAAAAACTAACAATAGTCTGATCCTAGTAATAATATTTCTGATGCACTGCAATTATTGTGCGACCCTATGTCGTTTTTTGAACTGAACTCAACTACAACTACAGGTGAATACATCTCACGAAAGCACAATTCTGATTTGTGGCGTTCGTAATTCAGTCAAGTACTGTCAAAAGCTTTTTCTTTCGCAGTCAACTCGTGGAAAACAAGGGCAATTTTATGTAATATTTATTAGATTGAGGGCTGGTGAAGGGGGGGGGGGGGGG